TTCAGCCTGTTGAAACTGATCAGAGGCTGATTCCAGGAAGCCCGGGACAGAGCAACTCTGCCTCGGGCTTCCTGTAGTCAGCCGCTGGTCAGTTTCAGCAGCGGCTGAATCTGGACGCCAGTTCCGACTTACATACAGATTCAACTTAAGAACAAACCTACAGTCCCTATCTTGTACGTAACCCGGGGACTGCCTGTATTCTGTCATCCATTTAAAAAACAATCCTGATGGGGGACTTTTAATGTGAGAGTTGGACGAGACTCTAATGTATGGAGCAACACCACTGGGAAAGAAGTAGTAGGTAAGACTAATTATTCTACTCAGCAAATGTGCAGAGCAGTGCCTTGTGATCACAAACACAATCTTCAGACAAAGCAACAAGTAAAACAAAACTTGGCAACAACCATACTCAAAACAATGGGACCTCATAGACTGTCACTGTAGGAATGTAGGATTTAAGAGACATCCAAATTACCTAGGTCACGAGAGGAGTCAACAATTGCCCGGTGAGATCAGACATCAGGAGAACACCAAAATACAGAAAGCAATTTGAATTATACAGATAGCAAAACTACAACCAGAGACTTCAGTCCTCAGTTCACCTAGAGAACTTTCACTGAGCACACCTCAGTGAAAAACTGATCACATGCAGACCTGGAAACAATGCATGTGTCGAAGATGACCAGGGAATTTTAAAATAGAATTCATCAGCCTTCCTGCTCACTACCATAAGGATTTATTAGACCACAAATACACTGAGACCACAACCCACTACAACCAAAAGAGGAAAGTTTTCTGCGATAGGCAAAACCATCAATTATCCAGTGAGACTCAAAGCTCTTTCCATCAGTTTAAAGCTGAGATTCAAAGGAGGATCCGAGAAATCAAACACAAGTGGTGGGAGGACAAAGCAAAAAAACAAAACAAAAACAAAACAACAAACAAGTAATTTTTCTGAGACAAAAGACTTTGTATGGATGAAGCTCATGTAGCTTCATACCACTGAGATCTGAAGATGGGACCACTCTTTTTAAAGGCAATGAATCCATCAAAGAGCACTGGAAGGAACACTACCAGAAGCTTCTAAATCAAGAATCAATTGTGACTGATGACACTACTGACTCCAGTTTGGGACCAACCAACACCTTAATGTACAATTAAGCAAAAGAACAATAAAGAATTAGGCCCTAATGACATATGAGCTGAAGAACCAAAAAGGGGGAGAGAAACACTGTTAAATAAGCTTCATTTGTTGTTCCTCAGAATCTGGTATGCAGACGAAATCCCTGCTGACTTATGCAACACTATTATCATTCCCATTTTCAAAAGAGGAGAGTCTTCCTTTCTGTGGCTGTGAAGATTGTTTCTGAAATTACTGAATCACCTGCCCCACTTGTATTTCCAGAGTCCTAGGTGGCTTCATACCATCACGAGGCACTACACACGATTTTCACAACCAAACAGATCCAGGAAAAAGTGTCAGAATCAACACCAGGGGCTGTATAAGGCCTTCATCGATCTGGCCAAAATCAAACATGAGGCTCTGTGGAAAATCATGTCAAGGTCTGGCTTCCCAAGGCAAATTTATCACCACGGTAAGATTCCTCCATGACCAGATGACGGTCTTCATCCTGTGCAGTGGCTCTAACTCTGAGCTCTTTGTCATCCAAATTGGCAGAAAATAAGTTGTGTACCGGCACCCATCCTCTTCCCTATTTTCCTAGCAGCTATGAAAATGCTAATGCAAGACCATCCACTACAGGGCATTGGCATCCAATATTGATGAGGATGATAATGAGAAGGATGTAGGTGGTTTCTGGGATGACCAAAACACCACAGAAAAAGGAACAAAAGAAAGGAAAAATAACATTATCCTGGACACAAGTGTTTCCTCTAAGCTGCTCGGCAGCACAGTCTCAAGTGATTAATCAGTCCCATCCAGTCAGAGGCTCACGGCTCCATGCTCTGTGCATGGAGCTGACTGACTAGGTGGGGCCGATTAATCACCTGTGAAGCTGTACTGCTGTGCAGTCTAGAGGGAACACTGCTGGACACCCACAATAATCCCCACTAGTATCTAGTATCCCAAGGCACCTTATTAAATCACAGACTACGCTTATACTCTCTTTGCTTTTTGATGGAAGAAAGGCAGATGCGCACTTGGCCTAATTTCAATAACACACAATCTATGCTGTATTCTCCTTCAAATGACCATATACTATTCTAACTGATAAATAGGAAAGACTATTTACTCAAATAAGAAAACTGTAATTATTAAATACATTATCTTACTACAATACAGATATAGCTTAAGCACAATATGAAAATACAGAGTTGTATTCTTTTAAAAATGCTGAAAAGGTTCTAATCTCAAATAAATCACAGCCAGAGGTAGCTAGAAACTGGAACAGTCCATAGCCTGCGGGGACCACATTTTACAAAACATGGCTTAATCCTCAGTGTTTCAGTCTGCAGAAGATTGATTAGGATAAAACTAAAAAAAGTTACTCTAGAAAATAAAGTCTGCATATCTCACAGGCATATACCAAAAACCTGTAGTTAAAGAATGGAAGTCTACAGTGTTCTATTATTTTCCAGGGGATCTTTCTTATGCTACAGTTTTATTTCAAAGCTACCACTAATATTGTCAATAACTATGGTGCACAATGCGCTATATGTGGGAATGAATGACATGAACGTACTGTAAATATTAATGCACGAGATTTCAAGTGCCTTGAATGCTCAGTTTACTTTTATTTATTTATTTAACAAAAATTTGTCATTCTAAAACTTAGATCCTCAAAGACAGTTAGATACCTAAATATGTCTGAAGATTATGGTTGCCAGATTTTGGATCAGAACGTCCCTATCCCCATCCCAGAGCCCTCATGCTCTGCCCCAACCCTGAGTCCTCTCCCACACTCAAATGCTCTGAGCCTGCAGCCCCTCCTGCACTCCAAATGCCTCATACTTGGCTCAACCCTAAGAGTCAGCACTCCTAGTTGGAGCCCTCATGTGCACATTCCCCAACTTACTGCTCTAGGCCTGAGCCTTCTTCCAGACTTCCAACCCCATAAACCCAGCCTAAGGCCTACTCCTTTGCTCCAAGCCCCTCATCCCTGGCTTCACCCTAGAGCTCACATCCCTAGATGGAGCCCATCCCCCATCTGGAACCCTCATCCCTCCCTCCACCCCCCAAGTTCCAGTGCTCTATCCAGAGTCCCCTCCCACACCTTGAGCCCCTCATTTCTGGTCCCACCCTGGAGCCTGCACTCCCAGCCCAGAGACTGTACCTCTTTTCAGACTCCAACAATGTTCCCTCTAGCTTTTTTTCATCCATGTGCAGCATAAGTTGTGTTACATGCACCAAAGCATGTGAAAATGTGCACTACTACCACACATGTTGTAGGTGCTAATCAGTTGTGAATCATTTGAATTTGTCCTGGACGACCACCCCAGCAACCCGCTTAGAGGGAACACTGACTCCAACCCCCTGCAATGGTGCCGGACCTAGTACCGATCCCTGGAAAATCCCAACAACCCCATTCCAACATGATTCTTCCCTGACGACTACTTTTTTAGATCCATCAGGCAGTTTTTAATCCGTTTAAGATGTGCTTCACAGATACTGTATAGTGCTATTTTTGAAATTAGAATGCCATAAGATACTAAATCAGATGCTTTACAAAAATGTGTCTATAACATCTATGCAGTTAACTTTATCAACCAAATTTGGAAGGATATCAAAAAGTGAAACTGAGTTTCTTTGATAAGGCCCATTTTCTATCAAAGCATGTTGACTGGTGTAAATTATATTTTCATCCTTTAGCTCTTTATTAAATGAATTCTGTATCAGTTTTCCATTATTTTTCCCAAGAGTCATGCTGGACTAATTGATTCATAATTATGCAGATCACTTTGCCTTGCTCTTTTCAATATTAGCACTCTCCCAATCTTCTGAAATTTTCCTGGTATCCCAAGATTTACTAAAAATTAGTCCAGAGGACAGACATCTTCTCTTTTAGGACTCTTGGGTGCAAGTCATATGAGGCTATTAATTTTAAAATGGGTAGCCCAATAAATGGCACCTAATTTATATCCATTAGCAACCCAGAAATATAAGTTGTTAATCAACCTCATGAGATAGAAGTACATCCTCTTCCCCATTTAGAAGTACAGAGAAGACATATTACGGAACATTTCTTCCTTTTGTCCACAATTTCTAACAATTTTTCCATCTCCTTCTAGTAATTGCCATTTACCATTGTTCGGATTTCTTTTGTTCCTGATAGTTAAAGCCACAGCCTCAGAAACAAGTGGGAAAGTTATATTAAAGTCACTCAAATCAAGACATTATGGAAATAGGATATGTAACTAAATTAATATGTAACAAGAATACCATTTAACCTGTTTAAAATTAAACGAAAGATGGTTCTTGTTTTGAGAACAAAAAGTTGTCTATTAAGCAACAGATCACCAATCCTGTTAAAAATGTCATATTCAATCATTTCTTACCAGTGTGAACATTTTCCTTGTGCTTTTTCAGAGCATCCTTACTCTTGAACCTCTTCCCGCAGCTGTCAGCTTTGCATATGAATCTAGCATCTCCTCTGCATGCCTCTTTGTGCTGCTCATAACTATATTGGACACCCGATAAAGGAAAAATTAGTACATGAAGACATAGCTACAGAACTCAGACTCATAGCAAGTCTTCTGAGCTTAACACACATGCCACACAACAGACTTCCAGGATCACCTCATGCATTACTTACAGCTGATAGGAATGAAAGTATTTCACTTCGTTCACTGTTAGGATTCACATAAACTAATAAGCTTGAAAGCAAACATGCAAAGGGAGGCCAGCAATGATATGACAGCAGTCCAGTAACTCGGACACAAAACCTCGATTCTGAGCTGAAGGACGTATTGCAAACAGAACACTGAAAACTTCTTGAAGTGTCTCCTGGATTGACATTCTCTGTGCACTGAAGGACGCTAGGGAAAAAAAGAAACAAAATGTAAGGCAAATATTCTCTATACAACATTTTCACTGTAATAGTTAGAAAAGATACTCATTATTAGCAAGACTGGGTGTAACTTTATAAGCTTTGAGTTCAATGGAACTACTCACATGCATAAAAATGAGAGACAAGGTGGAGAACATAGTATTTTTTATTGGACTGATGTCTGTTAGGTGAGAGAGACAAGCTTTCAAAAATACTTGGGAGCTCCTCCTCATGTCTTGGAAACACTCTCAGAATGTCACAGCAAAATACATAGTGCAAAAGATTGTTCAGAATAAGTAGCTCATTTATATTTTGAGCAACCATTCCAGGTTGCCATTGATGCTCCTCCAACACAGGAGGAAAAGAAAGGTGGGGCAAAGACAGCTTCGGAGTTTTATAGGGCTTATCAGGTTAACTGTTATAACTAATTATAATAAACCATAAATCTAGTGTCTCTAAATAGTCCATCGTTTTTAGTGACCAGCAAAGGTCTGAATTTAAGCTTCTAGGCTCACCATTGGAAGTTCTACCTTATATTTAGCTATCACATTCTGATTACATGTCCCAGACCTTAAGAGCTACATGTGAACTTGAAAGCTCGTGTCTCTCCCTCTCAACAGAATTTGGTCCAATAAAAGATAGTAACTCACATACTTTGTCCCTCTAATATGCTAAAGCAACATTACATGCATACATGTCCTCAGTTTGGGGCCATAATACAATATAAAAAAATATTCTCAATTACCAAGGCATTTGTCTTTTTGTCCCCTCAAGGTGCTGTTAATCTACATAGTAAGATTCTACAACTGTCAACTGAATCCATGGCAAGAGCTAAGAGCATGGTTGAGTGCAATTTTGTGGGGTGGGGGGTTACACTGCAAATTACATCCATATGACAGCTGAGGCTTTCACCTAGTTTAAAAAATTTAACTGGTCACCTACCACAAATCAAATGCAGTTATAGATTAGAAGAATGAAAGGTTATTTTTGTCTGAAAACATTTCATTCTCTCTACAAAATACTACTCCAGAAAAATCATTATTCAAAAGAGCAAGCAGAGCATTTACTTATCAGTATAAGATGATCATTAAGAGATTATTATGATCATATCTGCATGAAAAAAAAATCACTTCATTACAGAAATAGTTTTATATGGCTATGTATTTTTTTATTATTTTCCCTTATAAAAGAGATTAAATGGGGTACCCTCTATAACTAAATCTACAATTAAAAAGCTGATCCATTTCATCTACAGTAATTGATTTACCAGCATTGCGTAAATAAAAGAAAAACAGGTAATATCAATTAATAATGTTTTCATGTAAAGCATACTTTACATTACTTTAAAGGATAAATACACAAAATAATGGGGAGAACTGCAAGTGATTTGCTTTTAAATCTTGCTTTGTTTTCATGTTTCAATGTATTTTTGTTCTGCCCACAATGGTTAAATTAAATCAACATGAAGTGTTTTATTCCTCTATGTCCTTTTACATCTCCATTTCTCTACGTCAAAGCTTTATTCTAATTTCACAACGGCACCCGTTAGAGATAGCTGGGATACCATCGGTTTCCAGGAGTTTGCTTGATATATCAGTCTACTTGGGCAGACCAAAGGTCCAGCGTTGCACAACAGCTCTAATACGCTGTACAATGCATTAATTACACATCCTTTAGCCATATTAGCCTTTCTAATGGCACGGTATTTAAACATTAAGGGCACTACAAGTATTCAGACTAATGTCCTAAAGAAGTCAACATATTCAAAAAATTAAAGTATGAAAGGCTAATTCAATTAGTAAATGTAATGAAATTTAGTGCAACCACAGCCTCTTAAATCACAACACTAGTGGAAAGAAAAAAAAAAAAGACACAAAGCTATAGGCAACAGAAACTGACTAAGCTTACTAATCCGTTTAAAGGGTCAAAGAAAGCATTCTTGTGTGTACGCACTGTCTTTGTAAGGCTTGTTTCACTGGGAATTTCTTTCCACAGTTCCTGCACTTAAACTCCTTTTCCTCACTAGGTTTTTGGTGCAGGGTCTGAAGGTGTTCCGCTAGGATCTCCTGGCTGGCAAAACTGGATTCACAATTTGGACATGTGTGGTCCTCTTTGCAGCTAAGAGAATCTACACAATTGGGGGGGGAGAAAAATAATCACACATTAGTAGAGGCATGCTTTCTAGGCAATTATATTTCTGAATACTTTAAAAAAAGTGAGGTCTTACTCTGAAGAGGGACTATATAAAATAGCATCATGGGATTCACCACACTGGGTGAGTCTGTTTCTCAAAAAGATTATTCCTACCAAATCTCAGGATAAGTGCATTATCATATTAATCAACACTCTGAAAGGCCAAATTCTGCCTTCAGTTATGCCTATACAAGATCATTCCCATCAATGTGATTGTACAGACTATTGAAATTTGCGCATGTACTACAATAAAGAACAGAATCCAGATCACTCACTCTCTGCTGTGTTGCCTTTACTAACAGGAGTTTAAAAAAAAAAAAGTTATATATGTCCAAAAAATTGGACATCTCTGGTCCAACCGGACCATGGATGTTGCTGGATCACAGAGCCCAGGGATAAGGAAGTCTGGCAGCAAGGCCAGAAGTGTGACAGGGTGGTCTATGGCAGGGTGATCTAGGGTTCTGGCTCTGGGGAGCTCCGGCTCTGGGGAGCTCCAGCCCCGAAGGCAGCCAGCAGAGCAGTGGGGAGGTCCGGCCCCAGCCCCAGCCGCAGCAGCGAGTCTGGTGGCGCAGCAGGGAGCTCCAGCTCTGGGGAGCCCCCTGCTGAGCCGGTAGGAGGGGGTCCAGAGCTGAAGCCGGAGCCTACGGAAAGCGGGTCCAGGAACAGGCCAGAAGCAGTCAGCAGTGCGGGGGAGGGGGGGGAAATGACAGGAGACCTCTGCTGGTGTGGTAAATCTTTTCGTTTGGGATTGGTCAGTTCCCAAGAGTGCTGGGCCAAAGAGGGCCAACCTGTATAAAGGTTCTACACACTTTTGGCTTTATAACCATTTTGAACTCTTTCAATGGAAGCAAATGACTCCATTAGCTCACAAGGAAGCATAGAATAGGGCCCTCAGTTTTCACACAAAACTGAGTACAATATACACATACAACCGATATCTTCGGTTTCTTGCTAGTCAGAAGTTTCTGTGCCTCTTCTTTTGATATTGTTTTTAAATACAAAAATTACTATAGTTCTCACTCATTCTTATCTGTACCTCTCTCACCAGCTTGCTGTAGTTCTTTGTTGTTGTTATTATTATTATTATTGCTGTTGTTGTTGTCTTCATCTTCTTGATTAAGAATGACTTCTTCCTCCTCTTCCTCTGCTTCTTCCATGTCACTGTCAAGGTAGCCAATCAGCAGTTCTGTATCTGTTTCGATATCCTCAACAGCCAGATAGAAAATGTTTTCCCCTTCCTATTGCAATGAGTAAAGTACAAGCAATGAATCCTCAAGACAGAGAAATGAGAAGCGAGAGCCAGATCCTGGATCTTGCCGTCATAAAGCTAGCTTACAGAGCTACTACAGGATTCAAGTGACACTCAATTGCCCAGTTGGCAATGAGCTTGCATAGCTCTTTTCAGCCTTCTTTCCTAGTGGAGGTGTGTGGATGAACATCCTCTGCTAAGAGATAGGCTTGTGATAAGAGTGTATGAAGGTGATGTACCTTTATCCTCCTCTACCATCATCCTCAGCACTCCAAGGACTGAGGATGCATTAGAAAGTGCACTCAGAAATTAGGAAATGCCAAAGTGAAAGTAGCCTGTGAAACTCAAGTTATGCTGTGTGTGTGCGCACACACGCGCACACAGACACACAAATACAGCCTTCAGTTATATGGTTACATAGTGCTTTTTTCCAGTATCCCAGTCTTATCGAATAAGCCTTCTACTCTGATCATAAGGTTAAACTATACAATTACAAAGGACATATTCATAATACATATTTTCGCATACTGAGAAAGACGACCAAATCCTCAGTTGGTGTAAATTATTGTAGGCATGCAGACTCATATAGCCCAGATACTGTATCAAGTAAAAACAAAAAGTCCAAAAATCATCTACAGAAGTATATGAAATGAACAAGTAAGCCACCAAACAGATCCATGAGCTAACTCTGTGTCTCCCAATGTTTACTTAACCAAAGCTAACAAAAAATGTATAACCCTTTTGACAAAAGCAGCTGTCTTCTCATAAACTGATCAACTAGGCTGCCTTGTCTGCTGTACCTAAGCCAAGTGCTTTGAGTGCTACCCAAGGCAACTAAAGGAGAATCATGCTTACCTAATGAAAACTTCCAAGTGCTGTCATAAATCTTAATGCTTATCTGAATACCATGCAGTAAAGTTATACTATGAAGCAGGTTTAGTTATCTAGATTAGAGCAAGCTTCATAACCCAAAGACAAGATAATGTTTTTTAATTTTGTAACATGCTAAGATTAATTTAAACTGTCAACAGGAATATAGTATTTTTAATACTTCATTTTCAAACAACAGTGAGAACTATTTAATTCAATAACTAGATGGAAGCAGCAGTCTTCAAGGACCAACCTCATTTTTTGTTCTTTATCAGTGATTTGAAAGAAATCTAATGATACATTTTTTCCCCAAGATCTGAATTTCAAAGTGCAATCCAGATAGCGATCCTTTTGCCATCCTAACTCTTGACTACATCTAGGAGGTGCTGGTTTTTATATGATGCTGTCGTGGGCTTCAAAGAACTTTAACATAAGTTTAAAAAATATATATATCTTCTGTAACTTTGAAGTGAGGTAAAAAGGTCTCTCTCCACTCATTATCGGCACAGATAGGACACAAACACTGGCACACACTGTCTTTATATTATTGTCTAGTACAACTCATCTCATTTTAAAAGCAAGACAATTTTACACATGTAGGTGGACATAACTGCTGTTTTTGGAAGGGGAAAGTATACCATTTTAAAAGAAAAAGAAAAAAACCCCAAAGTGAAATAAATAATTTCCAATTTGCTCCCACGCCAAGCATCTAAGGCACTCTCATGAAGGATGTGGCATTATGCCTTCAAAGACTGTATTCCCACTGGAGTTTAGTAAACATACACATCGTGGACTACAAGACATGTTAAATATCACCATTCAGTTGCAGTAACTTCCTCCATTCTTTGCTCATTACCTGTTGACCCTGAAAATTCTTCAAGGCACAGGCTCTAGGCCAGATTTTTTTAAAGGCATTTAAGCACTAGTGATGCTAATAGGTGTCTAGTGGGAAATTCAAAAGCACCCAGATGCCTAACTCCCACTGAAATCAACCAGGAGGCATCTTGGTGGTTTTAATAATCCTACTAGATGCCATCTGTATTTTTAGTTTCCTAACTACAGGCTGGACCTCCCTGGTCGAGCACCTTGGGACCTGATCGGTTCCACATGAGGGGATTTGCCAGACCAGCGGAAGTCCCTCCCATGTGATCAATGGGGCTGAAGCTAGGGCTGGAGTTCCACAGCTGGGGCTGGAGCTCCCTGGCCACCGCCCCGCCTGAAGCTGCGCAACCGGGAATGGGCCCTTACTACTACCCAGCTGCTGGGCCATACCTCCCCACCGCACCACCTGGCCCCCCTCTTCTGAGACGGGGCTCCCAGCTGAGCCGCCATCCCCCCATGCTATGCTCCTGCTCCACAGCCAGACCTCCCTATATCAGGTCTCTGTGGTCCAGGAACCTCTGTGACCCTGCTGGACCACAGATGTTGCTGGACCAGGTTAAGAGAGGTACAACCTGTACTAGGGATGTAAGCGACTAGTCGACTACCGACTTATCGGATAAACAAGTTCCTTGACTAGTCACTTGCCCCCTACCCCTTGATGCCCCATCAGAGGCAGCAAGGGAGGTAGCAGGAGCTGGTGCTGTGGGGAGCCAGCTGAAAAATTGGTTTCCCCCCAGCATTGTCTCTGTGGGGGACAGAGAAGGCAGGAGGGTAGCGGGGACCAGGTGCGAACCGGGAATCAGTTGATTCGCAGCTCATGCCTAGTCCCAACATGCTGTGCCTCTGCTTTTTAATAAATGTATTAAAAGCCTGCCCACTCTTAATACATTTAAAAGACAGAGCTGCAGCAGGGTTATCTCCCAGGGCTGGGAACTAATTCCACGCAGCTCCTCCACTTATCGACTATCGAAGAGAGGCAGAAAAGAGGGGGGAAAGAGGGTACTTCAAAGTGGCAGTGCCAGACAGCACTGCCATGCATGGTGGAGCCCAGGGTCAGATGGGGACTCCCCAGCTGATCCCGGGCTCCAGCATGGCATTTCAAATCAGCTGGGGACCCTTGTGCATTTCAAAGCTGGCGCGCATGTGCAGCCAAGAGTCAGCGGGACTTCCCAGTAGGAGCTCTGGTACATTTCAAAGGAGGAATGCAAAAGTGCCTATGGACTACTCGAGTAGTCGATGGAAATTCCATTGACTACTCGACTAGTCAGTTAACCATTACTTAACATCCTTATAGCCAAGCCCATGTGTAGTCCAAAATGAAATACTGGATCAGACCCAACAGACTAGAGCTAGTCAATAGTTTTGCAACAACAGCAACAAAAAATTTTTTTTTCCCCCCTTCACGAAAGTTTAACACGCTGATTTTTTCCAACAAAAGAAAAGGTTTTGGTTTCTCCTTCTTGCATCCACCTATTTTAATAGAAAACAAAGGGAAAGAATAGGTAGAATAAGGAGATTTTAGTTAAAAAAAAATCGTATGAACTCTTTTAAACAATTTTCTTCTCTTTTTCCCATTTTTTTCGATGAATAAAACTGACCTTTTCAAAAAATAACATCGCACCTAAAACCCACACCAAAGTTTTTGGTTTTTGCTTGTTTGTTTTTATACTATTTCTAGTGATTTATAATACAGATAAATGCCAAAGTACATGGGGGAGCAAGAAGGGACTTCCAGAAGTAAAAATAAGCATAAGGTTAAACATAAATTCTAGATAAAAGAGCAGATACAAATTTTGAACATGGCAATTCAGATGGCTGGTGTTTGGGAAAGTATCTTTGTTTACAATCTTTCCTGTGTGCCAGGTTTATTTTTTAATAATCATGCATCATAACAGCAGCTTTCCATATATCAAATTATTTTTGTACACAGTCATCTATATTTAAAATGGACATCAATTTTGGAGCTATCACATAGTAGGGAAACTCCTCCCCCCTCCCCATCAGTGCCAATGACCTTCGGGGGGGGGGGGGGAAATCAGTGGTGAGCAACACACAGCCTCATATGGGGGTTGTGGAGATGCAGAGGCTCAGGGCTTCCACTTGGACAGAGGTGAGAAACCTATGGCTCAGGGACCAGATGCAGCCTCCAGCTTGCCTGGATCCAACCCCTGAGGCTCAGGACTCCCCCCAGCATTGGGGAGCCCATGCTGGTGAGGGGTGGTTTTTTTGGTTTCTCACTTGTGTGCAGCCCCCAACTGATTTTTCTGTGGGTCAGTGGCCCCTGGCCCTGAAAATTTTCCTCGCCTCTGCACCAAGCTCTGGGGTGGAGTCAGAAATGAGGAGTTCAGGGCATGGGACTGGGCTCCAAACTAGGGCTACTGCCCTAGCACCGGCTCCTGGCTTTCCCCCTTGTTAACTCATACACCAGGGTGGGGGGAGGGATGAGTGTAGTCAACAAGATTAACCGATGAGCCTAGGCTTTTTCAATTAATTGTATAATAGACAACACATTGACATTCCTAGTCTAGGGATGTTAAATTTAGTTTAATCGACTAGTCGATGGATCTTCTATCAACTAGTCTATTAGTCAAAAAGCAGAGGGGGCCTCAGCGGGATTAGCTCCCGACCCAGGAGCTAACCCCGCTGCAGCTCTGCCTCTTAAATGTATTTAAAAAGCTAAAGCACAGCAGGGGGACCCAGTGAGAGTCAGGAATCAGCTGTCCTGACTTACACCCCATCCCTGCTATCCCCCTTAAAAGCTGGTTCCCCCCAGCAAAGGCTCCTGGTCCCCACCTCTTGCTGCTTCTGATAGAAGCAGCAAGCAGAGGTGGAGAAGTGACTAGTCAAGAGTCTAGTCGACTATCCAATAAGCTTTTGCTTAATTGGATAGTCAACTAGTCACTTACATTCCTACCCTAGTGGAAACTATAGTAGTGATTGGAAAATGTTAATTTTTTAAAATTTCCTTGTAACATTGTACCTCAGAAAGTAAAAACTATCAATCAGCAGCTAGATGGGCAGACAGGTGACCACCTACAGGCTTTCGAACGTCATCGAGGAATACAAATTTGAGGCCTGATTATCACATGCACTAAGGTTCCCTTTGCATCACTCTGGCAGCAAAGTGGGTCTTAAAGTAGGTACAAGTTACACTGACGCTCCCCTTAAGACATGTCCAATAGTCAACGCTGTAAAGCAGCTTTAATGTTTTTCAGGTTCACACTCATTAAGTTTAAC